AAATGGCATGAAAGTCTCAGTTTGTCGTCAGAGCCTTTAATGCACCCAGACTTAACAGTTGCAATGAAGGAGCATTTGTGTATGCAGGGGGCTTGTGCTTGGGAAATTGTGTGGGAAAGTTCAGAAACTGCTGAACAAAACGTAGGTGGATTAAGGCTTCTTCTTTCTAGGCATCTGGTCTCTGTGAAGGCCTGTAGCTGGACTCTGGTCCTGGTCAGCTAGTGTAGAACTTGACTTGGAGGCTCTCATCTCAATGACTGGAGCACACACTGCCAGAGATGGCACTGCTAGGTCCAGTTGGCTCGCTCTCCTAGTGTGGATAATCCCATAGATGTGGCAGCCCTCATGCTGGTCCTTGTCATGCAAAGAGAAACTGCACCCCTGAGAGTTGAACACGCAATTTTATCTTCATTTTAGTACTCATTAAAATGCAAATAAACAAATATTGCAATGAAGACAATTTGTCCCCTCTTGGCATTAGCTACCACCACTCAGTGACTAATGCTAACAGGGCAGTTAAGTTGGCAGATAAGAGTCAACTGCCACCAGCCAGTCTGACTCAGAGGTGAAGAGTGCAAGACCTGGGGGATGACTCAGCATGTCATCACGGATCTTTAGCATCGTCAAGTGGGGATGTGATATCCACTAATTTAATTCATCCATGGCTGGTACACTTCATACATTTTTGTGTTAATAAAATGTGAAAAAAAAAATGTGTCTCATTCACAGCCAAACTGGAGCTCTGAAGGCAAGATTGGGAGGCGACATCACTAGTTTATTGCTTCGAGTACACAGCCCCTCTGTCGGTAAGTAAATACAGTAAAATGACACATGGGTGAAAAGTGAACACGCAAGCAGCTCAAAAAACAGCTAGTTTATTTTTTTTCATTTATTTCCCCACCCCCCACAAAAGAAGCTTCAAAATGAAAGGCTTTCTCTTTGAAATGCAATCAGAAGAAATAACACCTTCCTCATGTTTTAACACTGATAAATACAGATTATCTACTAATCAAATGTGATCAGATGAGAGGCTGCAGATAGGTGGAAGGTGGTGTGAAGAGAAGAAAACAAAAAGGAAGAAAAACATCATCACCAACGGTTAATACCAACAGAAATCGTTCCATGTGGACAAGATCTAGCTAAAGAAAAGAGCCCTCTCTGGGTTCACATCAGTACAGCAGGTCTGTGGGGGTGGGACCTGCATTAAAGTGCAGACTGGAGTAGGAGAGGGGCAGCTTCAAGACCAAAATGGACACCAGGGCTCGGAGTGTAACCTTCCTTCCCCTGTGTGAACCGTAGCTTATGTTAGCACACTTGCACTGACATTATTCTAGCTCATGGAAGTGGCTCAGTAATTTATTACTAGTGTCGATGCAAATCTTTTCAGCGTTTCTCACTCCAATGCACACTGTGAGCAACACGGTCACTGGAAAGTGTCGGCGTAATTGCTCTCAAACATGAGAGTTTTTGGCAGTACAAGGTTGGAAAACGGGTCATGCTGTTGGTACGATTGCCATCAAAAGCAACTATTTAGTAGTGAACGGTTTCTTTAAGTGAGACAGATGCTCGTGGAGGAACTTCTGTTACTTTTACCGTGTTCAGTGTTGTTGGTACGCGCTTATTTGAAGTATTGACAGGGTGGAGCTAGCCGCTCCCTCCTGTCCCCCCGCAGCCTCTACTTTCATACTTTTGACCACAGACCTGCATTGTAAAGTTAATGCATGGCGATGTGCTGGGATCATGAATCCACCTCAAAAGATTATTTTCGGGGTTTTGTTTTTTTTTATTTTAAAATCCATCAATCAAATCAATATCAGTTGGAGTTTCAGATATATTTCTGGGTACGAGGAAGATTGTAAAGGTAATTTGGAATTTTATGTGCCTGCTATAGATCTGCACTGAGTATTTTACTAAAGCTGGGCATACACTGTGCGATTTCTTTCAGTCGCGTAATTCAGCTTGCGCTCAAACTGTGCGACTGAATCGCAGAGGTTAGAAATTCATAGGTCAGGATGCTCTGACGTGACCTTTAGCTTGGTAACATGAAGATGTTAATCGCTTCTCAGGTATACTACACAATGTATGACACACGATTAAGGCTAAACTCAGGCCGATCCCCAAGACGGTCGCATAAGTGAAAAATAGTCTCAAAATGGGCCAAAAATCACACAGTGTATGCCCAGCTTTACACTTTTTAATGGCTATTTTTTACATTTTTAAATTTGTATTCTTATTTTTTTTTTAATACAAACTAAACCAATTAAAATCAGTTTCTTCACGTCCACTGATTAATACTCACTCAGTTTGAAAGATGAGGAAGATAAGTGGAAGAGAATGGCTGGATGGAGTTTTTAATCAACACTTTTTGACCCTCCCTCCATTAAAAAAAAAAAAAGAAAAACCCACATTGATTCCAGCGTGCAATTTTTATGTTTTAAATTAGAACTGACACAATATGAACAAAGAGAAATAACAATTTAGAGCTAATTTAAAACCCTCACAAGACAGTACAGACTTAAATTTAATTTTGTGGCAAACTGAACCTAAATTTGGCACATAGTGGTTAGTGTGGGAGTGGTTGTAATGCTCACGTGATAGTGTTTCAGAGGTCTAATGAGGACCATGTTGACCATTTCAGGTAACAAATAGTGTGCAGAAGAGGCTGATGGGAATGTCTCAAAATAAGAGACGTTTTGAACTGATTGTGACGCTGTGGGAGAAGTTATTAAGAATACGTCAACTGGGAACTTTCTATATCCTATCCAAAATCAAATAAGAAATCAACAACCTCTCACAAAAATGACGCCTATCAGCCAAATCGCTGAAAATAATCAAATCTACGGATCCTGATTGGCCCGTCGATCATATTGCTCACAGTGTGCATGGATGTAACTTATTAAATGCACCAAAAAAATGATTCACTTCACGTTTTGCCAGACTGATTTTAAGTCTGGGGGACTTCAATAGTCAGATCGATGATTAAAACACGTTCAACGACGACTAAAAAGCAAAAACAAGCGCCAACGCTGGCTGTCTCCTTCAATTGCACATGTGCAGTATTTTAGACAAAGGCATCGGTTTAGGCATTCATACATGTTGGCACTGAGAAAAATGACCTGTGGAAAAACAAAGCAAACAAAAAAGGAGAATTTGATAACTATATATAATAATTATTTTGCTTTGAGAGTACATTCGTCATCTTTCCATGAGAGGAATTATGTAACTAATACAGTAGGGTGCTCAGGAGGGTCAGGGAGTGGGAAGAAGCAGCTTTCGAGAAGAAAAGAGACAGTTTGGTAAACTAACGCAAAAACTACCAGAGCGTGGAGGTGGAGGGGACTTGGGCACGAAGGAAGGCAAAGAGTAGTTGGGGGGGTAAAGAAAATGCTTGAGTAACAAAGGCTTCCCTAACACACTGTCACCCTCCTCTCTCCCTCCGTCCTTCCTTTCAGAGTTGACCCACAGTAGTCCGCTAGCAAGCTCTTGGCACTTTTTGGACATGATAAACTTTTAAACAAAATGACTTTGGAGATGGTAGTCGTCATCGCTTTCTCCAGCTTCCTTCACTGTGCAGCACTCTCAGTCCGCAGTGCGCCAATGACACTTTGGATGTTTTCTTCAGGAACCTGAAGAAGACGCAAAGTAACTGATTAGAACTTTCTGATGGCCCCAAAAACATCTGAAAAAGCTGAAACAGTTTCTCTCCAGCTGCTTAGAGCCGATGCTGATGCCATAAACTGTATATAAAAGATGGACGTAGTTGCTACGATCAGTGCCTAGTGTCTTCTTAAAGCCTCGAGTTGAAGGTTTTCTGGAAGTGAAAAGCAAGAACTAAAAATCTTGACTTGAAACTAGTGAATTAAGTCAATAAGAAAGTTTACTGGAGTCAAAGCCATTTTCTCAAAGACTTCTATACAAATTAGACAAGCGACCCCCTGTTGGCCACTGGAAAGAATGCAAGTTTAAAGACACCTTTGCACTGGCTTCACTCTACAGACCCAGATGTGCTATGCATGTCCATCTTTTATATACAGTCTTTCATGGTGTCACGAACTGGTTAGACTAACCAAACAGCCCAACAATTACAAACAAGTTGATTACAAACCAAACATATGCAGTAGAAACTGTTTCTTACCAGGGCGTGGTCAAACTTGAAGGTGCTAATGTAGTAAGCTGGAATGTCAGCCGTCGCCAGCGGTTCTGATATCTGAGCCACGATGCCGCACTCATCTGCAGACCATTAAAGACACGATCTTTAACCTCTCAACAGGCCCCACAACCACTCTACAACTCATTAAAGCATGTTGATAAATACAATACACATTAATCATGATAACACTTATTATCCTGATTAGAGCAGCCAGGTCTGAGGTCTTCTTGTGAAATTCTGGCTTTTTTTTTTTGTCTGCTAAGGCTTCACTTAGCCTGATTATTGATGCTCAGGTAAGCTGTTATATGAAGGTGGTTATCAACTAACATAAGCATCTAACCAAACAGAAAAATGAGAAGGTCTACCGACTTTACAAAGGAAAACTATAAAACAACACAGCTGCTGCAGATTTGTCTCAGCAGTCTGAGTGTGTCTGGGAGGAAAACTATAGGATTACACCCACATATTTGGTCAGCAATAATAAAATTTCATTTATTTGAAGCCAGGAAGGAAAGCCGACAAAAATACAAATAACTGTAAGTTCACAGACTTCTCAGTATCGCAGCTTTATGCACGGGGGGAATCTGACAGATTATTACTACTCCATGAAATTTCAGGTGTGTGTAAGACAGGTGCAGTTTTGTACTTTCACCTGCTGCCCTGGTGTTTAATGGTCTCACAGCAAAAAAGAAATGAATACAAAAAATATAATTTAAACATAGGTTTAACCTACAAGTACAAATAGGTGTCTTGTTTTAGGATCATACATTAAAGGCAACAGGAAAAAGTTCCTGGAAATAGTCTTTTTTTATTGTCTGTTTAGGGTTAGATAAAGACTTTAGATCTTCCAGGAACAGTGACACAGTTTTCAGTGGTGGTTTCATACCTGTTAATCTTTTATCTCAGGTATAACCTGCAGTTAGTATGGCAATCTACCCTGGTAAAAAGTGAACCACCTTTTTAATGCTAAAGACTGTGTTAACTACACACTGGGATGGTTGTTAAACCAGTTCTGACAACGCTGATCTTGATACTTGAACATGTGCTTTGTTGGCATCAATCTGTAGTAGCATGTGGCCTGCTTCTATCCATTACTACAGCAACAAAAATACTCACCAAATCCTAAAGGTTGCCCTCCAATTCGAACCATTTTCCAAAGCTCACCAGAGGCACTGGTAAAAAGTACATTGTTTGGAAACCTGGAAGAAAAAAAACCCAGAACAATTATATTAGCTTCAGTATTTATTAAAATACAATTGTACCACATAAAGGCTGGTTAAGTTACTCACTTATGCAACACAAGTGTGGTCATACAATTTCTATATTTCTGAATTGTTACCAATAATAAGACATAAACACAGTATTAAATCATTCAGTTCCAGTATTTCATTAACTCTGTCATCTTTAAATGTTTTCCAAGAGTGGCTTTATTTGACCTTTTTTTGCTTTACTTAACAAATTATGGCACCAGGCATGGTTAGCAGATAAAGGTGCATCAGAAGAAGCCACTAGCCACTCAGCACAGTGCAAAAACAGCTAAAGTCTGTTTCTGCTGTGCACCGTGCTGCACTGAAGAAAAGAGCCATTGTAAGGCAGAGTAATTTGGGTGACCCATCCCTTTAAGGCAACACATTCGGTCTTACATAAAACGTAGGGACATTGCTGACCTACATGCTGCAGAAACAAAATCTAAACTTAACAATTCAAGTTCACTCCAGTTGTTATTTTACTTCCACATGGATTGAAGAGGTTACTAACCAATATAATGCAGACCTTTTTTTATTCATTGGCAGCCTTTGATCAGATGCTAACACAGGAGAAACCATGTGGGACCTGCAGCTGCTCAAGTTCCTTGATGGCCCTCCTGCTTAATTAGTGTACACTGTTAGAAACTAAGGGAGTAGATGAGTCAGACTGAAACCCACTGTGACTTATGTGCAATACACCCGATAGCTCTGCTTATTGCCTAGCAACAAACTAATCACCACCTCAAACAACAATCAGAAACGCACTCCCCTGCATGAATACAAGCTGTCCTTTTAGTGGGGATTAACAAACAACAAAACCTTAAAAGAACAAGTGTAGTTAATTACACAACAGCAGTGCACATGAAATGTTGAGTAGTGGGTGTTTTTCTTCTACCTTTGTGTGGTCTGTTCATCCATGACCAGAGAGATGTAGCCCTCGATCAGAGAGAAGGAGAAGAAGCGGATGTGGTTTGAGTCTTCACTGGATGCTCCAGACTCTTTTTGCCTGGCAAAGACAAAAACAATACAGTTTTTGATTGGACCTGTGACACTTTGATTAATTTCTCTCTGTGTTGCCTAACAGCTTGAGTAGGTAGACTGGTTTCTGTTTGAAGAACTCAGGGTTTTCCATTTAAAAAAAAAGGAAGATTTTGAAGTCCGTGCCTGTGTGCAATGTTGTCCTTGGGTTCCCTAACAATGCTAACAGTGAGAGTTGATGAGGTCATAGAACTGCTATCTGTTAAACAATGTACACACTGGAAGCGATTCGCTCGAATGTGTCCATCAGAGACCATAGAAAGTGGAAGACATTTGACATCTTCAAGCAACTACAGCTAGAGACATTAAGTGGGCGGGGCCTGTGATAAAAGCCCTTCAGTTGAGCGGCGAAAAATCACTAAATGTCCAAAGTGTGGAATATCCAATCTGGGTCAGTGAGGAGTTGCTGCCCCAAGTATGGGAATCTGAGTACCTCTCGATCTTGTTTCTAAGGAGGAAAACAAATCCTATATTTTCTTGCTTTTTTTAAAAACTTTATGGCATATTCCATTTGAAATCGGAAGCTAGAATTTCAACTTGATTGCCCTGTCAAGCTGGACTTTCAACTCAGAGAAGCCACACCAACACTGATTTAATAATCAGAGATGGTGGCAGTGCAACAACGTGGACCGGGACTTCCTTTTTCCCCCCCTTTAGTTTATAGAGCTATTTCACAGCAGGTGTTTTGACTGTCAAAAGCCAGAAAATAAGAAAATGCCCATTGGAAGTGCTGTAATTTACATTTCTAAAGTATCCTAGTGAGCCATTTCAGTGAACGAACACAAAACACCTTGGAAGGCCTTAAAATTGCCTCATTTAAGTGGAATAAAGCAGTCATTGTTAATGCCTGCTTTGACAGGACCAAAAAGGTCTCTAATTATACATATAGGTAAAGAAAACAACCTTCAAATTATGCAGACTAACACACAATGGATGGAATCATTTTACACTATTCTCTCATTATTGTGTGGGGTTAGTCTTGCGCTCTGGTGCTGCACTTACACGAAGATGATTAATGTGTGAAAAAGATAAAAGATGAAAGAAGGGTTCAAATTGATGCATCACAGGTCAACACATTCTGACACTGAGCCTCATGTGTGGGCTGAGCTCCAGAACATTTTCCCAAAATGCCACCATTTAGCATCTCCTAATTTTCCCTTCCTTGTCTAGGAAATGAAAGTGAAAATAGTCTTCTATTCTCGAGAAAATAAGCTTTCCTGAATTTTATACCCATATAATTCAAGGCAGTAAAGATAATTTTTCAGACTTGACAAGGCTCCAGCAGAAGACATCAGATAACTTTAGATTAACTTAGATAATTAGATAACAAAAAAACTGAATACTACTTTCCACTGTGGCCAAACTTCTCTTAATGAGCTAAATTTCTGTTTTATCCCTTTTAAGTAACATCCTACATTTGATTAATAGACTATAAAGAGATGCTGTCCTACTGTTCTCAGTGATTGAGTGGAATCCTGGCAACATGCAAAACATGCAAAAGGCCTTCAGAGCCTAAATGAAGTAATAAAATGTTTTACCCTCCAGAGTAAAACATGACGTCCATGAGCAGAGTGGCCACAGAGGGCAGTGTGTCTGGGTCCAGGCTGGTCACACAGAACATGTTGCTGGGACTGGATAAGGGGTGAATGATAGGACGGGGCACTGAAAAAAATAATACATGAGGGCTTAGGAGGCTTCTTAATAAAAGACTACATGGCAATACATTTTCTGATCATCCTTTTTCCATTCATCTGAGCTTAGACTTCCCTTGTCTGTGCTGGGTGAAAAAGTGAGCTTGAAAACTGCATTTGCCAACATTAAGAAGGAGCTTTCAAGCTCAGCTTGTACACCAACAGGAACAAAACACAAATTGTATGAACAGCAATAAAGACTGTGTGCTGTGTAATTGAAAGCACCACAGTGCACTTAAGTGGAGCTTTAGTGGAGATTATCCAACATCCGTTTCTACAATCATAAATAAACCTTTAAACATTAAGGTTAATTAGACACAATTTGATGTATATGTTTGCACATTTTATATTTAAACAATGCTGAAAAAGTTTACACATTTATTTATTTATAAACTTAAAATGTAAGCATCTCACCCATAATAAAAACTAATCCACAACAAATGTATTATTATTTCAGGGCTGAGAAACAAGCATAATTACATTTTAACCCCATTTTATAGATTTTATATCCCATTTCCTGTAGTGGAAACATTTAAATTTTCTTTTAATCCAGGACTAGTCTAAAGGGGGCCAGATTATATTATATTACATACATGCTGTTCCAGTCGTTGATGCTCATATTAAATACTGTAAATGTGGGCCACAAGGACAGGCTTCAGCGTGCAGTAAACACTTAACCACTGAGCCACTGAGAGCGGATGTTAATATGGTGATCTGTGGGTGTGAGCACAGAAGCCCCACCCACCTGCTGTTTTAACATTCTGTGCACGAGGGGCAGCCAATCGAAAGAAAGTGGTCTCAAAGGGAGAAAGAACGGAGTCATAATGGCTTGAATGAACTGAGGTTGTACTATATAAGGTTTGTTTTAAAGAGATACTTTAATAGATTCCAAGAAAAAAAAATGGAGCTGGAAATTAACATAATGGGTCCACTTTAATGTCTGTGAAACAGCACAAATTAATATGCAGAGATTATTACGTTGAAGAAACAAGTCTGAAAACATTTTGTAAGTGCTTTGCAAAACCCATTTCCGATTACAGAGGTCTCAGTATCAATACACTATCGTCCAATCGCATTGCAGATTGCATTTGTGCAGATGTAATCTCAAAACCACACAGTGGCGACAATTTGGCTTTTTAAAAATGGATCCGTGTTAATAAACAATGACCAGTAACCTGGACGTCTTGGCCCAAGTATTGGCCATGGATCCCCTCAAGTTGGCAGAAATATTGAAATGGCAGTCCACATTAAAGGCTGTTAAAGGCAGGGTGGAAGCATTAAGCTTTTCTCTAGACAGAAATATTGAATTATTTTGTTAACTCTTACCTAGTTTTGGTTTCACAAAGCCATTGGTCACCCCCAGATTGTGAGCAGCAACAGTCTCCCCGTTGACCACTCGAAACAAAGTGAATTCGGAAGACAGAGTGTGCATGACCATCGGGAGGTCTCGCTCTCGAACCTGAGGACGGCAACATGAACGAGTTCAGAGGTCAAGAGTAAATGCCGAATATGTAACAGGGAAGAAATGTCGATGAATTTTCAGAGAAATCGTTTGATGGGAAATCCCACTCTTATTCTCCTAGCCCGAGCTTTTTTCTAATGAAATGCTTTCATTTATTTTCAGTGTGCCCACTCTCTTGCTCTGCCTAATCTACATTTGCTTTTAATGACTTCCTACAAAATGGCTTTTGATAATGAGCAGAAAATGGGATTGGGCTGTTCATATTCAGCCAGATTTATATGTTCTGAGGAGGAGCAGAGAAGACAGTAAAGCTGCATTCTTTGCTTTAAACACAGCCTTTAGTTCTGAGTATTAGCATGGGCGGACAAAATGGAACATGGATCTTTGCCTCTTATGCCAACCATGCAGTCATTGTTGAAGGTTTGTTTACAGCCGCATGCAGCTAATCGACAGCTTCACCCTTAGGCCACCAGCGTACTGAGAGTACAATCCTGCATCATTAGGGCTGAGCAATATGTCAAAGCAGGTTTATTTGTTGAGCTCTTTTCATACACGAAGGTAAACATGTGCAACATAAAGCAAAGGAGCATACAACGGTTAGAATTGGAAAACAAAGCAAATTGAAACGCAAACAGACCAAGAAAGACATGAAAAGCGAGAACTGGCCATGAGCCAATGCATTTAAGATGATTATTGTTACAGTCTAATCAGATCATCATGATATGACTCACTCAAATGCATTTTGCATTTTTTGGTCCTTGTGTAATTGTATTAAGAGCGGGGTTCACGAGCATGTGGCTTTGATATGTATTGTGGAGAATTGGAAGATTACGTTGAAAGGGTCAAGAAGACCTCGGGGAGCCAGAACTTTTCACAGCAAATTTCAAGGAAATTAGTTTTCCAGATTTCTTAGAAACTAATTGCTGACAGCAGGGGTAGAGAAAAAGCCACCAAAATTATTATGGTAATGAAGCAATTAATATTTATATTTCTTTAACTTTGCTGTCTCTAATTAAAACTAAGCTGATCTCTGTTTAAGGTGGGAAGGGTGGCGGCACAAATTTAATTGCCGTATCAGCTGTCGCTCTTGTAATTGTTGCTCCCGAGAAGCTGGTGTGTGTGGCAGATCTGAGCAGACTGACTCAGTCAGGATGCTTGTTGCTCTGTTGAAATGGGTGTATTCAACATTTGGGTCAGGCTTTACCGCTTTATGTAACACAAAAGATCATAGCAGTGAAAAAAATAAAACATCTTAAGCTGGTTTGTCTTTTGGCCTGCTGAGGGATTCAGTAATGCAATGAAACACAGAGTGAAATGAAGGTAGGAGATGGCTTGTGGGTGTGGATAACAAGGTCAGTGTTGGACGTTTTCTTTACCTCTTTTCATCTTATATACCAACAATTAGGACAGTGGGAAGGAGCCTGTGTCGAGACAGGAAGCATGCCCCGAGTATGATACCTTAAATTCCAGCAAGAGGCTGATCTGCTGATCCCCTTTATGCAACAGATTATCAACATCAGCACAGGGTTTGTTTTTTTTTTTCCATTTTCATGAACATGCTGAAGCTGGTCAGCAGGCCTTGTTTTTCCATTAATGCAAGGCAATAAAAAAAGAAAGGAAAAAAGACTCCCTGTAGCCAAAAAGGCATGAGAAAGGATTTCATCCTAAATCAAAAGAAGTGGGGCCGTGCAAGGTACACTATATCCAAGGTTATTGCTTTTTCATATCAGGCACTGTAGATGTAAACAACTGTGCTGCCAGGAGTTGCATAAAAGACAAATAATGCAACACACCGAGCATGCTAAGAAGCAGATCAACTGTTGGCTCATAACACACAATCATCTTTACTAAACAGAACTGAAAAAGAAACTGCACTTTCAGTTCACTCTGACAGACGGGGGGGGCTGTGTGAGGTCAAGTGCTGTCATGATACCTGAAGCACAGTCTGGATTCATATCAATTAAAATGCATCCCAGTGGTTCCCACTGAGCATGCAAATAAGCAGCGGAGAGGCGGCTCTCACTGCAGCAGTTGCTAGTGCTGTTTTTCTACTTATCGCCATTAAAACGCCACGCCATTACCTTTGAGATCAGAGGATGGTACTACAAACAGTTTACTTCTGATTTAGCTCAGCATGTGATGGAGTGATGGCCTGTTCAGTGTATACAGCTGTGTATTGCCTCTCATCCAACAACTATATACAAAAGATGGGCTACCATGATGTCATGGGTTTGTAAAGTCCCACTTTAAAGTCTCAACTTGGACTTGGCATCACCATCTTGGTTCTTGATTTCTGTTCAATTTTATTTATTAGGCGCCAAGTCACAGCAAAACTCTGCTCAAGGTGCTTTAAAATGTAAGGTAAACCTCTACACTACTGCAGAGAGAACCAAAACAATCAGACCACCCTCTATTAACAGTCACTTGTTGACAGTGGGAAGAAAAAACTCCCTTTTAACAGGAAGAAACCTCCGGAAGAATCAGGCTCAGGAAGGGGAGGCTGCTGCGACCAGTGGGGAGTGAGGGGGAGGGAGACAGGACAAAAGATAGTGTGGAAGAATGAAGGGAAGATCTAATTGTGAAACTGACAGAAGCCTCACCCCAAAAACATAGTCTATTGTACTCTACATGAAACCATAGTGCAAAACTAGTTTCGAGGTCATAAATTGTTGTGCAAAACGCCCCCTGCTGGTTATTAGAAAGGATATTTAAGGGGCTTCTGTGCCAACCTTTCTCAGAGACTACACCCATTTTTTAATCCTATGGTATTGGTTGATGTCAACTGGGATGGCTCCAGCCCCTCGAGCCGTGTGTCGAGTCATTTTTTTGAGAGCATCACGTGGCTGTCGAGACCCACACCATTCACACACAGAACCTTGACATGAACAATATTCACACTCACCAGGATGAAGTCCGTCTGATACGTCGACAGCATGAAAACAGAAATGTTGTGGTCGGCCAGTGGTGCGATGACTGATTTAGCGATTTTGGTGACTCCTATGGGTTGTGAAGTGGATGTGTTGCTACCTCCTGACACCACGTTAAGGGCCACCCACGTGGCGTCGGCAACGCTGATGTGCTCCGACTGGGGCAGCTCTGGAAATGAAATCAGAAACAGTTGGGAGTGGAGCTGGTACAGTTGTTTGGCTGTCACAAAATTTAATGGTTAAGATTTGAGACAGATTGTTTCATAGAGGCAGCAACACAGATGGATGGATTTAATCTTTACCAACAACCTCTTTGGAATAAAAAGAAAACAAGCTGGGTATCAGTAGTTTTCATCTGCACTCATTTCTTTCTTTTTTTGATCTGTAATGTACTCACTTTTGCATAATAAATACAGTTTTATTTCTGACTGATTAGGAATATGATACTTTTAACAGCTTTGAGGTAAGGTCACAGAGCAAAAGCATTAAATATTAGACCAGCATTTCCCTTTCTGAGTCATTCGTGAGTCAGATTTGTGCCTTGATGACTCTCTTTGTCTTCTTGAGCCATTATAACTCTGAGCTTTAACGTTTATCATTATCCTGTCACTGGTGCCTGTAGCTGTCTAATGACTTCAACACAGAGAAGCCACGGTTGTGTTTACACCAGTGACTGGGATAAAATAATGAACCCCGCAGGTAAGAACCACAGACTGTGTAAATAAGACGTCAATGCACTAAAGCATCCTCTATTTAACTCTGAATCTGCTCATAGTTATTAAAGAAAACTTAAGACTACCACTATCTCGACACAAAGTGTTTAATGCAGTGATAGCACAAGTGAGAAGTAGGGTCATTTTCTCATGGAGAAAGAAGAGCTGGACTTCTTTCTAATGGCCATTAGGGGGCAACACATCTGGTAAAAAGAAGAGCTGGCTTTATTTTTTAAACCCAGAATCAATATAAACCTTTTAGAAATACTTTATTAATCCCAAAGGAAATAAGGCTAATAAAGCATAACTTTTAGTTGCTAGGTGAGTTCCGATTCAAGTAAAAAAGAGAACAGGGCTCACCTGGCAATGATACTCCCATGAGTGAAATGTCCAATTACTGTGAGGGACTGTGTATAAAAATGGCTGCAATTTTTAAACTGTTATGTAATACTTTTGTTGAACCCCTCAAATAAAAGCTGAAAGTCTAGACTTAAACCACATGTTGGTGGTTTGATTTAAAAGCTACTGTGACGGTGAAAAGAGGCAAAGTTACCAAAACTGCATCCATGTCCAAATATAATTTACAACATACAAAGTATGATCTACCCAAGACATGTGGACTGAACTGGGTTGTGCACTCATGGGCTAATTAGGGACTAATTGTCCATAATCAACATGCATACGGTTAAATAGTATGCATCTTCTTGGGGGTTTCCAGTGTGATTTAATTTCACAATGTAGTTCAGTTCAATATAAGAAAGACAATAACCCACAGAGCCAGCCACCAGTAGAAAATACCTGCACCAGTTACGCAACAAATAGCCTGTAGTCTCCAGGGTAACTAAGGAGGGTCACCCTGGAGAAGGGTGTGTAATGACACGGATTCACTCACTCAGCCAACACAGCGAGCAGCAGCTCGGCCTCACATCTATAATGACAAAGTGTGCTCAAACAGTGTCAGCTGAAGCCGCGCGGTGCTGGTGAGAATCATAGATTACACAATGCGACCTTCTCTTGCCGCCTGGTCTCTGGTTGCCACAGTGACTTCAAAGATTAGTATCCACAAAGCGAGGCTCACCTTTAAATCCTTCCTCGTCGACGATGATGGTATAGTCCTCTGGAGTCTCTGTCAAACTGAAAAACTTGCATCTAAATTGGAGGGAAAAGAAAAGGGAGAGCAGATCAAACAGTGGAGAATATATGTAGAAAGTTTAAAAATAATCTTAATAATGTCTCACTGTTTCTCCTTCCTCACACTATAAACACACAAATCATGTGGAATTAACCTATAGACTGTACAAAGATGATGGTAGTGCTTCTGGGTATAAAATAAGTGCAGGAGGGTATTAAAGTCAGTAAACACAGAAAAATCTGTCTCAAACTGAGCGTTTGGCACAATCTAATCACAAATGCTTATGTGATTATTTGAAACTTTGACCATGTTTAATTTCACCATCCACCATCATTACAAAAAATAAGGAAAAAAATTATATTAGGTCCCCTTTAAATAAACACCCACAAGGACCAATGCATGTCTTCATCATCTTCTATTGAATATGAGGCTCACAAACCCAGTGATTAATAAAGTGCTGGGCAGCTTTACCCCTCTCCAACAGACAAAGGCAAATTTTTCTTTGACAGGAATCTCCGTGATCCAGAGATGTTTTTAAATGCACGAAATATACTGAGGCTATGAGCTCAAAACATCTATATCTGACAGAAATCCCATTTAGCTTAAAAACCTTATCTGTAAGTACATTTTAGGCCATACATATACATATACAACTTTGGTATAAGTGTTTGGAATTAAAATCATTTCATTTTAGCTTTGGTTTATCTGTCTAAGAGTTTGGTTTCTTTAACAGTGAGAATTAAAGTCTCGTAAAGGCCAGTGTAGCTGTAGATTCACACAAACATTTACTGGAAATTATATAGAGAATCTTTGGTCACTATGCGATTAAAAGAAGTGAATTTGCTGACTGACCACCTCTACACAGACCACAAGCCAGCTGACGTTTGTGTCTTGGACTTATAATTTACCTGACTTACTGCAACTTGCAATGACCTCATGAAAAACTTGCACAAGCATAATTTCAGCACAACAACAGTGGAGACAAAGTCTTAAAAGCAAGTTGTGCCACTGAGCTGAGTCTTGATAATGATCTGAGTAGCTATTTTCCAAGAAATCCTCAGTCATATCTGATTTAAACACTTAAAATGTTTGGCTACTGCCTAAAAACAGATTTGGAAAAGCTTTTTCTCCCCCACACGCAGAGCTCAGAGCCCTCAGGGTCAACGTGTCTGACTCATCCCACCAGAGCACTGGGCAAATGCCATGCTAATTCATATTATGGATGCAGCATGAAATGGACCAGCTTTTATTGTTTAGCACTTTTCTAATCTTATTTGACCACTCAGAGTGCTCTTCACTATAAGCCACATTTACCTTTTTCACACATAATCATACATCACGGTACTGCACTTAAGCACTTTGCAGCCTCACCTACGGCAAAATTCCAATCATCAGTTAACCAAACATACATGTGTTTGGACAGTAGGAGGACGTCAAAGAACCTGGAGAGACCTCACACAGCCTGGAACATGCACACTCCACACAGGAAGGCTCCAGCCAACCAGGAGGTTTGATCTTGCTGTGAAGAAACAGTACTAACTGCTGCTCTACCAATCTCCGAGGAGATATGCACATAGTCAAACTGTTGTGAACTTGAGATTTGCACTTGTTTGAACGCTCATATATTTCAGATTTGTCTGTTGATAAGCCCATCTGGGCAGGGGCGTTACAGAAAAATCCCACCTACATTTCTATTTGTATTTTGATTCTTTTTGACTGCCTCGTTTCTGCATCATCATGTGCCTTGTTGAGGTAAATGGCATATAGAAGTGACAGATTATTAACAACTCAGTGTTCCTCATCAAATTTTGTTAAGAGGACACTTTTGAAAACCACTAGTCAGATCTGACCACATCTGCCTCTTGACATTCAGATCATCGCATTTAAACTGTTCTCAGATGGTAACAGATGTTAGAGACAAAAGTGTGCCCCAAAGATTTTACAACAAATGGAAAACGGTGCAGTAGGAAAAACAACACACACAACGCTCCTCTGATAGTCACATTCTTTACACACCAGCTACTGAAAGCTCACACTTCATATTGGCTGAAAGGTGTGAATAATGACAAGAGAATAACAGAAAGGCTCTCAGAGGGAACAGCAGGATTTCCTCCTGGCATTAAATGAGCTGTCAACTGTCACTTTGACTTGCAGGGTGTTTTGCAGAGCGAGAACATTAGAATGATGTGCACTGAAGGCTTTTCTTGTGCCCGGGCTGGCAACACACCTAATCAATGACTTACTTCAGTCTTTGACATTGTTCCATCTAGATCAGCTGCACAGATTTACTGTGCTACTCCCGACTGTGGGGGTGATCTCTGAATATTCAGCCTTCATTACTCACATTCTGTGTGCCTGCAAGGAACTTCACAGGGAGCCTTTAAATGAGTTTATGCTGTCAACCACTGCACTGCAAATGTGTTTATAAAAACTCAGGGCACATATTAATGGAATTATGCTGATATATGATCTGCATAAAGTCATACATCATTTTATTTAGGAGTTGGAGAGGAATTGAAAGAATGTACAGAATAAGAGTTTAAATAAGGAGAATATCTCCATATCTTTACATCACCAATGTTCATATTTAGGGCTGGTTATTGACCGAATCGATGTCAGTGGCACTAGAAGTCAGAATCAAACATCTAATCTGGATCTAAGGTTTGTTTAGTCTTTGACAAGATATTTCCTTTTTTCTTAACTTAAGACAGTGGCTTCACTTACATTACAGAGTATATATAAAAGGTGGATGCAGCTACAGAGATGTCAAACCAGACGTGTATTTCCTACACAATTAGTCTGTATCTGTGGTGAAAACTGACACATGGGACTGGGGTGCATGAAACAAGACATGCCGATAAATTTAATATTTTCCACTCTAATAATAATAATAATGAACTCTCTACATAATGGAGGAACTATCAGTTAGTGAGCTCAAACTTCAAGGTCTTGAAGTCCAGTGAGAGACAGCAGTCCTGTTCCGCAGCCTTGGTGAGCTCATCGTATTGACACATGAACCACTTCTCCATCAGCTGCAGGTTCTGGTTAGAATGACCCTCCAGCACTCGCAGCCATCGTCACACCAGAACAAACATGCAAGCTAGAGTCCAAGACTGTGGAGTTGGAGTCAGCCCAGGCACAAGATTAGGGTCTCTGGGGATTGACTCAACAGTGATCTGAATAGCCCACCCAGAGGAAACAGGAGTCAGAACAGGCCAGAGATGGCTAATTAGCAGTGACTGAACTTTGAAAATCTGAACGAGGGGATTGTTTCATGTAAAAACAGATAGCTTCTGTGATGAAAATAAAAAAATACATGGCTTGGGTGGCTGGAAATATATCTGGGTGTCGGTGTGTATCTGGAATACAGTTCACTTTGTCTCAGTATCTTTTGAGGTGCTTACAAAGCACAATGAGGTCACCAATTTCATGCATTTTGTGGCTTAAATAGAGAAGTGGTGACACACTGGCCTTCCACATATTTGTAAGCTACTAAAAGCAACTTTGATGAAGATCTGTGCTGGGGGTGTGTATGCCCGAGTCCTTAAAATGCAGGGATCAAACATGCTTGTTCACGGTATGAATCGCCCAGTGTTAAGCCACCCTATGTGTGAGAAACACTGGACTCTGCAAAAGGTAAGTTCGCCCTCCTTTATCATCCCAATTTGACTATCTCCATCCAATCTGAACCAGGGCCATAATATACAGCATAAGCATCATGCTGTATTCAGTAAGACTGGGAAGTAGTTATTGAGACCATAAACTCATCAGGAAAGAGTTTACTGAGGTCATGAATCAAGGGAAAGTGTTGTCTTCTAGCAGACTTCTATACAGGTGGAGTTTTTTCTGCAATCGATCTGCTGACCAGAAGAAAGAATGAATAATTAATGCACTTCTGCCTTGGTTCTACTCTTCCATCTTTTATATACAGTCTGTGGTTTATAGATATTTTAAAAATTTTATTGAACTCCTACCAATTGAAGACTTCAGGTGAAACATTTGCCAGGGATGTGAACGGTGTGATAAGCATTCGTCCTTTTCACCAGCTATCTATTTTTTTTTTATTATGTTTGTTTAGCTCAGTGTTTGCAATCATTATATTGCTCTTCATTCAAAGGCAGGCTGACAAATTTAGAAAGAGAAGCCGCCAATATCCCTACACATTTACACTCAGCTGGAACGCGAGCCCAGAAAGAATTATTTAACATGGTAAAATTATTCTTCCGGCTGCTTCATGAAGGGGTTGCATCTCCTTATACCATCTCCTTATTCTGTCAGTGTCGTCTGATTGGAGTGTTCATAAGAAGCATTTTTAATCCTGCCTAACACTAGAAAGACAGTATTGGCTCCATATAAACACAGAGACACTATATCCAAAGACATGGCAGTCTATGAATCCTGCATAGAAATCTGTTGTAGAATAATGAAATGCTAAAGATGACAGCTGCCTTCCTCCTGCCTTTAAGAGCCAATCAACGGCTGAACCCATCCATCCATCCATCTTCATCCGCTTTATCTGAGGCCGGGTCGCGGGGGCAGCAGCCTAAGCAAAGAGGCTCAGACCTCCCTCTCCCCAGCCACCTCCTCCAGCTTATCCGGGGGAATACCAAGGCGTTCCCAGGCCAGCCGAGAGATATAATCTCTCCAGCGTGTCCTGGGTCTGCCCCGGGGCCTCCTCCCGGTGGGACATGCCTGGAACACCTCACCCAGGAGGCGAACCACCTCAGCTGGCTCCTTTCGATGTGGAGCAGCAGCTGCTCTACTCTGAGTCCCTCCCGGATGGCCGAACTTCTCACCCTATCTCTAAGCGAGAGGCCAGCCACCCTTCAGAGGAAGCTCATTTCTGCCGCTTGTAGCCGCGATCTCGTTCTTTCGGTCACTACCCACAGCTCGTGGCCATAGGTGAGGGTAGGGACGTAGATCGACCGGTAAATTGAGAGCTTCGCTTTTACACTCAGCTCCCTCTTCACCAGTCAACAGCTGAACCAAGAAACATGTTAAGCAATCAAGTTGAGTACACAGTAATGGTTCACAACTGTCTCACCTGTGTGGTGGCAGGTGTTTCACTCTGCTTGTTACCCTAGCAGCTTAAGAAAATGTACTTTTTTTGTCCTACTGTATCCTTTACATGACTCTGCGTTTGTTCTTGTGGGATGAGCAGTTGATTGTGTTGGCACTCACTACATTGATTTTAAACTGTGTGCACGCAAGAACGACTATAACTTTGATACTATTTTGGCATATGCCAATATTCTTCCAGTGATACGCGGAAGAATACTTTCATATGATTACATCTGAAGATACTTTGCATTTCATTCTACTTACTTCGTCTCAAATATAGAAGCATCAAATTTCACTCTAAAGGAGAACCACAGGGCATTTCCATCAGCTGGCTGCACTGAGAGGTATGTTATGTAATCACCACATGCTGGCATCGAGTTTCTTTCTTAGGACTGCTAGGAGCATGCTTGAACATTTCCAGGACTGCTAGTTTTTCCAGCTTTGGTCAAGTCATAAAATTTGATTAATTTCTAAATAGAGTCAATTTTGTAAATGTGAGCAAAAATAGACAAGGCAAAGAAGATGCGATGGTCTATGAAAAAACTACAGGAAAAGATTGGATTAAAACTTTTTAGTTCTCAAATCTGGAAATCATTTACGCATGCATGCATATTATGTTCAGTGGAAGAAGGAGGCACAGCAGAGAACTATGATAGGGATGAAAGAACACTGTTGTAGGGGCTTATCAAAGAGGAGGCACGAAGGGGTGCCGAGGTTGCTGCTTCAACAACATTAGGTGGAGGATGGGAGAGTACAGAGAGGATTCATGGGGAAAGCAAAAGAAACAACTACAAAAAGAAACAAATTGCAAAACCAGTGTCCTCTAACAGACACTCGTGTCCTACAGTCAAACAATGAATTTATGTAATCATTAATAGATGGCAACCACATAAACCTCCAGCTTGAAACACAGTGCATGACTTAGGGATGTGCACAAATCACCAAGTACTGTGTACAAGTAAGGCTGAAAAGAGTAAAAGTCCTTTAAGCTATGATTACTCAATCAAATAAAATGAAACTTTAATATGTTCCTCTGTTTCTCTGCCTTCCAGCAGCATTCATGTAGGTTTCCCTCATACACTGGGGAGGAAGTACAGCATCTGGGGGCCTTTGTGAAGGAGATTTTGAGCAGCCAGTGCATTTTCTTTTCTGCATTAACTTAAAGTTAAAAATGTCTTTATTTAAATACGGGAAAAAAACCCAAAGACAACAGAAAAATCCAGCACCCTACTGGAAAAACATGTATTATGTGTCAAATTCAAACGAGTATAGTCAGCTTTTCTTACTCAAAAATTTCACCGCTATGTCAACACACATACAAGCACAGTTTGAGCTTGTTGTTGTATGTGAGTGTGAGTCCTCAGTCACATGGGCTTCGAGACTGGTTGTTGACCACTTGGCAACCACCGGTTGTTAGGGAAAAGACGTATTCCCCAACTTGTTGCGCATTGTTGCTGTGAAATCAATTGCTAAAACCTTAATTAAACACTCCAGTTGGCAATAGTGTGATTGTGGTCGATACAGAGATTGTTACCTTTCCCACGAAATATTCAGTGTTTGTATGAACTTTCAATGTTGTTGACTGAATTTAAATTCACATTTTGGGAGTAAATAAGACCTTTTGCTGAAGAAAAGCACTCACGCGTCAGTGACATTCCTCTGGGTAATGTGATTATTTTTCTAAATAAGCCGTCTGCTTTTTACACGATTTTACTGCGAGAGATAAATGCATGTGTTCTAAATATTAGTTTGTAAGTACTCCCTGCATCGTCTCTGAAATCTACACCCATGTTTGCAAGAGCAGATCTGTAATCTGAACTCATGCTTGTATTCACAATCCTTAACTGGCTCTCCAACAGGAGGCGGTGGCGGGGGGGATTTCACAACAGACAAGTGCAAAACGCCAAGTTAAAACTGAATGGAAAAAAACAAACAAAACAAAGTTAAGTGAAGCTTCTTTCTTTGCACCCAAACCAGCCGTTTCTGCTGTACCACCAGAGAAAATGGACGAAGTGCATTATCACACCCACAGGCAGCATGCACACAGGAAATGCATGTAACACTCTGCACTTGTGAATACAGTGAGAGAAGAGCTCTTTTACACATATCCATTTAGGTGGCTGGAAAATTTGATGAAAATGGAAGTGGACTAGCATTGCTTTTCTTTTTTTCTACTCTTACTGACCTCTCAAAGTCAAAGACATTCATGCAGCACTTCACACTATGATTTTAACTACCTCACATCCACGGCCAATTCAGAATCACATGCGTGCCTTTGGATTGTGGGAAAAAGCCTGAGATAACCATGCAGGCAACCTCCAACCAGAAAGCTGACTAGGAGATCAAAACCTAGGACTTTGTTGCTGCAAGGAGACAGTCCCAACCACTGCACCAAAGTGCACCATTAACTGGACTGGGCCGAATGAGAATGTCTGATGAGCTTGTCTTATTTCAGATTCTGATTTGGAGCTTGTATAACTTGTGTAGCTCTTTTTAAAATTTGATTATTTTTGTCCCTTTCTAAATCAAATCAAAGTAAAATGAGATAAGTGACAATAAAGTGCAAAATCACATGGATAATAACTCCTCTGGATGTTGCTTTAACTGAAAATATCAAGACAACCTGACAAACAACAGTTAGTTTAAAGAAAACAAACAAAAAGACAAAACCACAGGTGTCATGTTTCCTGACACTGACACATAAGTTCTGCATTTCCTATTTTACCACACCAGTGTGTGGTGGAAACAATGATTACTAAACTAAAAGCTCAAAACTATGACACTGCACTTGAAACAGCTGATTTTTAAAGTAACTAACACCTAAATACTCAAACTGGGGCTTTTGGGGAGCGTCACATGGCTGTAATCATAATCAGTCCACACACAGAAAAGGCAGCGAGTCTCTGTTGGTTTATTTGGTAGGAATCTAGGCATTTCTGACCACATGACTAAGTAAAATCTGTGTCCAGAAGCCTATAGGGATTTTTGTTTGTACAATTCTAACACTTTAAAGTCAACTTTTGCTATGACCACCTTTATTTTTCTACACAGACTGAACTCTCTTAGATAAGTTTTCTTGTCATTTCTTTAGGTAGTCTTCAGGAATAGTTGTCCAAGTTTCCTGAAAGGCAATCAAAGCTCTTCTTTGGATGTTGGCTGTCTTTTTTACCCATTTTTCTGTAAAGATGATCTCACACTGCTTTAGTAATGTTGAGGTCTGGGCTCTGGGCAGGCTAATCCATGACTGATAGTGTCCATATGTATTTTTCTATGCGTTTACTGCTCTGACAATGTGTTTGGGATCATTGTCATGCTGAAAAATGAAGCCGTTGCCAATCGGACACTTTTCAGAAGGTATTACATGTTGGATCAAAATCCGATGTCATTTTTCTTCGTTCACAATTTTATCAGCTTTGAGAAAATCTCCAACACCACTGGCTGAAATACAGCCCAAAACCATGACTCCACCATGTCTTAAAAATGGCCTTTGGCACTCACTGTTGTCTCTCTCTGCTGACCTGCATACATATTGATGAAGATTTAAACCAGCATTTTCAAATTTGGCTTGAAAATGGTCACTCCATGAGACCTCCTATGTCAGGTCTTTGCAACCTGGGGCAGCTGGTGATGACATTATGTTATTGAGTCAAAGAGTTGTAGCTATTTGACTGAACTGAGTGGTTGATTAGATTAAGCCACTCTTTGACGCAAGTGTTCCAGTAAAAGTAGCAAACATTTTACAGTCTCAGCTTCCAAAAACACGAGGATTCAATTCCCCCTGTGTTTTACATGTGAATGTAGTATTTGCTGAATTTTGGCTGATGGTTGGTGCATTCCTCCCTGTTCGTACAGACCAATCAACTATTAGATTAAACAAAAGCCTAATCTGCTGATAATGAGAACAACAGCCGCTGCCATGCTCCTTGAGCTAATCTTAATTACATCAGGTAATAATCAGTAATCTGACTGTTATTTTT